GGGACTACACTAGTGGGTGAGCTGAGCAGTAGAACAGGGGATCCAACACCTCTGCAGTATCATGAGAAACAGCGAAAAGCCGGCAAAGAAACCACCGCAGATTTGTAAAGTACCTGAAGAAAGGCTGAGAAAGAAGGAAAAGGCAGATACACAGTAGAAGTGCTCGACGAAGCAACTGCGCAGAGGGTTTTCTGGAAAAAAAACCCGAAAATGGTGAGCATGAGAAAATGCGTACGTTCAAAAGCTGATTGTACTTGGATCCTCCGAACACCTGAGCTGCCGGAACCGAGTACTGCGGCAGTGTTGCTGTTGTCGACGACTGATTTGGTGTCAGCTGCTGCACGGCTGCATGCGCTGTCCCCTCGCCACCGGTCATAATATCTGAAAGAGACAACCTCTCAGAGAAGACCAACCAAAATTACTTGGACTCGACTCGGTCGCCACTGAGAGAAGTGCCCATTTCTCTGCTAACACTGTTTTGAGGAGCCGCTGCTTGCCGGCACTGCTTGGCATGATGCCAACAGGCGCTTGCGCGACCCTGTGAACTTCAATTCAGCCTACAATTACTCCCGGGTACCCCGTGCGGGCCCAGAAAAGTTGTGGCAGGGGAAATTGTTGTCTCGGGAACCACGGAAGGTGGGAAGTTGGAATTTTGGTGGGATATTTGGTGGGGCCGCCCATGTGCGACTCCTCAAATTTAAGTTTGGCCCACAAGTACTCCGGATACCACGTACGGCCTCGTCAAGCGGGAAGAATTATTGTTTCGGGAGCCACGAAAGATGGGAAACCGTTGGAATTGACGCAGTGGAGGGATATGGGGTTTCATGCAGATGCAAGTCATCTGACTTTGAGGCTATCAACGATGTCGTGGAACTGCCCACTAACCGGCAATTGTTTGACATTTGGACTCCGTCCGGAGATTGTGGTGTGGGGCAAAGGCCAGTACAGTTGTAGCCTTCAAGTTTGGGCGTTTTGAGAAATACATTAGCAGAAACCAACAGCACTTCGGTTTGCTCTTAAACCACTGATCCCAAAAGAGCATGAGTGGTAGGGGCACAATGATTTTTGCTGGAAATTATTGGGAGGAATCTTCGAAAAAAAAAATACATAATTTTGAAAACAACAAATAGTAAAACATCA